GTTAAGAACACTGTCTCCTCTTGCTGAGGACCCAGGTTGAGCTCCCAGCACCCACATAGTGGCTGACAACTATCCATAACTTCACTTTCAGGGGATCCAACGCCCTCTTCTGACTTCAATGGGCACTGCATGACATGGGTGCCCTTACATACATGCAGGCAGTGCACTCATACACATACAATAAAAATAATAAATAAAATATTTTTAAAGTATCTAACAAGTTACCTTCTCACATGAATTTAAATGAGCAATTAGGTTTCTGATGTTCATTCAAAAAAGAATTTGAACACACAATAGAACTTATAAAACACCATCTTTAGAAATTTACTTTTTTAGTCTTACATGGAATTGAGTGAGTACATGATGAGAGGGTTTTTTCCTGTTAGAGAAAGTTGAAGGGTTTTAAAATAAAATTTAGCATATTATGTTGATTTTAAAAAATTAAAGGAAGTTTATTAACTAAATTTGTAACTAGAATTGCTTATTTCTGTAAGTTTTTTTTTTTAATTATGTGAATGTACATGTGTACGTGAGAATAGGTTCACTTGAAGGCCAGAAGAGGGCATTGGATCCCCTGGAGCTGGAGTTATAGGCAATTGTGAGCTGCCTGGCATGGGTACTGGGATCCAAACTCAGGTCCTCTAGAAGAACAGTACTTGCTCTTGACCACTGAGCCACCTCTCCAGTCCTTAGAATTACTTATTAAGGAAAGCTGACCCATTCAAATTGAGTTCAAGGGATATTAATTAAACTTTCCTTTGAAGTGACTGCCACATATAAGTAGAACAGAATTTGTGAACTTATTCATTCAATGTATTTACTGAGTGAATGTTATGTTCTAGGCTCAGCGCTGAATGCTAGGACTATAGCTGTGAACAAAGCAAGGACAAAACAAGCTTATCTTAAAGGGGCCAACACAAATTAAGCCTAAGAGGTTAGAAAAGCTGCTGATGAGTATTTTGTTTTGATAAACTGGGTATTAATGTTAAATAAGTTGGTCAGACAGCCTTGGTGACACACATCTGCAATCACAGCCCTTGGGAGGCTGAGGAAGGAGGATCCTGGGTTCAAGACATGCCTGAGGTACACTGTGAGATCTTGTCTGGATAACAGCAACAAATTGATCATAATTCATCCCTCATTGCACAAAATTTGCCCTTTAATAGGTTTCTTCATTCACTCATGTATGATCAGTGCCTAAGTGGCTTGCATATTGAATCTTCTAGTGTGCTGTCCAGATTTTTTATGTATTTATTTTTATGTATATGAGTGTTTTGCCTGCATGTATGTGAGTACACCATGTACATGCAATGCCCACAGAGGTCAGGATAGTGTTTAACCCCCCCCCTGCACCAAAACTGGAGTTACAGACAATTGTGAGCCGCCATGTGGGTACAGGGAACTGAACCCAGGTCCTCTAGAAAAGTAGACAGTCCTCTTAACTGCTGAGCCATCTCTCCAGCCCCTGCCTGGATTCATTTTCTTAACATCACTCCAAAGAAGTTAAATGAACCAACATTTTCTTAAAATACAAATATCTCCAATGTTAAGGACTAAGACATATTTATGACTTCAGATAATTCAATTAGATTGTGTTCTCATAATGCCTAAGTTAAGGAATAAGCTTTCTGATGAAGGGAAGAAAGGAAACTAACTTTGGAATTGGCAATATCTGTGCAGAAAGAGGAAATATCTGGGTTGCGGGAGCATATGTATATTAGGGTTCAGGGCCGGAATTAGGAAGGTAGGGGAACTGGCCATTGTGTTGTACGACAAGTGCCGCAAAGAATTCTAAACTCTTTGGAGAACAACTTCCACAAAGGAACAAGAAAGAGCTTCATTTTTGCTTTCTCAAGTGATTGTCTTTTCCTAAAACTTAGAAGTCAAAACCACCTCTTTTAAAATTCCAATTTGGGCAAATAAAACTTTTATAAAATGACCTTGAAATTCAAAGGAACATGGTTTCCATGGGAAAATATTTCTCGGTTCTAAACAGCTCATTTAAAACCAATCCTTTGAAACGTATCCTATTTGTAAATTGATCATTATTTTGATAACCAGAAGCCACAAAAATCACACAAGAGAAAGTGCCTGCAAAGTCTAGAGAACATGTCAAAGTCCATCAAAGATCTAAACTATCACTTCCCAGGGTAAGTCCAAAGCTAGCAGCACTGAACTGTGCAACCCCTAATGTTACCAGCTGCCCTTGTCCCAGCTGTACACGTTACAAGCCTGCAGGTGCAGACACTGCTGCTGGCCCTGTGGCAGCTCCTGCACTATCCACCAGCTAGTCACCCCTAACACTGTGGCTAACTGCACAGTCTCTGTGTAGGCATTTGGGGACCAATAAGCAAGTAGATAACAGGGGTTAGGATTGCATAGAGGTTAACTCCTTGGGTTCTAGAGTCTGGAAGACTCTAGAGTTTGAATCTGAAGTGCCACTTCCTTGCTGGGTGATCGCTAACAGGCTACTTAAGTTCTCTGCACCATAGTTTACTTTTCTGCAAGATAGGGTTTATGATAATACCTACCTGGTGGAGTTCCTGAGTAGTCTGAGGTAACATAAGTTCAATAGCATTGTGCCTGACATATGGTAAATTCTTAGATTTGAACTTGTACAAGAGTTACCCATTTTATAGCAAATACAAAATGAGAAACACATTGTGTGGTCTGTTTGTAATGCATGATAAATGTAAGAAATAATCCATAATTAAAGGAACTAAGAGGGGATATAACTAGTATTAGAGCATGCACTTAGCATGCAGGAGGCCCTGGGTTCAAGAAGAAATTAAGAGTCTAATTCTTACTTAGATTCTTGAAATGGTGTGATGAGACTCAGGATTATCAACAGTGTTAATAGCTAGCCAGAATTTGACTTTTATTTGGCAAATGATTGAAAATTTCATTTAAGAAGTTATTAAATAGTTTTGAAGAAAAGCAATGCCCTTACTGATGGCCTTTAAAACAGAGTCTTTTCAGATAGTTTCATGCTGGAACAAAATACTATGGAGAATAGTTCCTTTAGAAAAATAATCCACATAAACCAGGCTGAGTTATTAAGGGGAAAATGAGTTTAATAAGACAGTATCAACCAGATTGCATATCATCCAAGAAAGGTGTACTATAAAAATGTTTTGAATATTAATTGACCTCTGGTAGTATTGTCAATATTTGTATTATAGTGAGGTAGACAGTTTAAAAAAAAACTCTCCATTACACAGACTTAAATTTTTGTAATAATATTTAAGAAAGTGATAACATTATGAAAGAATGAAATATCTGATTAATGCTTAACTCTGTACAACTCGAATATAAACTTTAAAAATATTAGAAATTATAACATTTGAGTGCATATAACGTTTTGTACATTAAGATGAATTGAATGCTGTCCGTTTCCTCTTGCACTTTCAGTCATCTTAAATAAACAAATATATACAGCCTCAACAGAACAACAGTGCATCCAAAGCAAATGTGCATTTAAATTATTTCTCCTGGCCAAGTCTTTTCTTTTCTTGCTTAGAATTTTATATTACCACTTATTAGCATTACCACCCTTTCTTCGAAGTTTGTAGTTCTCTGAACCAGACAAGCAACAGATTTAGACAGTGAGAGAGCAAGCCAGTTTGGGGTAACCCAAAACTTTCTGCAATCATCAGAGCATGTTCCTCTGTTTAAACCATTTCATGGTCAAAGATGAGAAGGAAGCTCACTTTTCAGATGGCCTTCGAGTGAGCAACATTGGAAAAGAATACGGTGCAGGCTGGAATAAGACTCGTGGTTTTGACTATCTGGGAACAGGTATTTCCCTGTGTGCTCTCTCCTGTTTCTTTCTAGAAGATGGATTTTACCTCTGTCTCTTCTTTGATGCCTATTCCCCAGTTTCCACACCAAGCTCAATGTAATATTTGACTCTCTTCACAGTTTCTCATTACTTAAGTTTTAAAAACACCACCTAACTGGTAATTACAATCTAAAACAATTCTTTTGGGGGAGCCCTGGGCTATTGCTGGTTGATAATCTTTCAGGAATGTTGGAGAGAGGGGAGGGGACATAGATGTTAAGAAACTTCAGAAGCAGAGGCTCCTGTCCCCTTTCATCCTCTTTCTCTGCTTGGGGCCTGGCCCTTTATCTCTATCTTCCTGTGGGGCCCACATCTCCCCTCTTGGTGTAGCCCTTCTTAGGTCCCTTTTCCCTCCTCTCTTCTTCTTACCTAAATTATAGAGTTTTCCACCCCTAGCCATTTAAAAAGAGAACGAGAGAGATTACCTTTGCCTTAGAAGGAAATGTTTGAATTTTGGCAAATTCTGTTTAAAGAAATCAATTAGAAACAGACATCATCAAGAGCTTTTGGGTGGGCTATCTCCAGCTAAGCTTAGTTAATGCACCTTGGTGTCATCTCTGTCAGAGGAAGACCTTGTGGCTTCTCATTATCTTTCAGGGGGTTCCATATGGACTAATTCTTGTCATTCCATCCATACCAACTGGTTTCCCCCACCAGCAACAGAAAAGGCATCCAGAGACCTGAGCCCACAGCAGTGGGATGGCAGCTCCCAGTCCTTGTGCTGGGCGAGGCCAGGTCAGAGCTGATAAACTCATGGGAATGCACAAATGAGGAAAGAAGGCAGCTTGGGCCCGACTCCCTCAAGCTCCTCTCAGTGCAGGACCCTTCCTGGCTTTCCTATTCCTTTGGCCAGTTCTCCCAAACACTTCCTGTGCAGGAAGTCAAGGACGCCAGCTGTGGTGTGGCTGGAAAGATGGAAGGACTCCACCTTCACACAAGTGGAAGCAACCAATTCGAGATGCAGGCAAAGGTAATTGCTTCTTTCTCCCACTTTTTAAACAGCTTCTCCCCCCCCCCCCCCCCTCCCCTCCCCGCAGCGCCCCGAAGAAGGAGTAAGATACCCTGGATCCGCACTCTTTTATGATAATCAGCAACCACACAAGAAAAGCAACACAAAAATAACAAAAAGA